TAGATAGATGGAATTTTATGTCTCCATAAGAATGGCATTGCCCCATTTGTTAGGAAATGGAAAGAATTGGAAAAAATATATTAAGTGAAGTAAACCCGAATTAATAATCATAGGTCCCTTGCTTTCCCTTATTTGCAATAACTAGTATATGTCTAGGACAAGCAGAAAAGGTCAAAAGCTATGTGCATATGACTATATAAGATGATGTTAAGTGAAATGAACCCCGAGACAGGGACATGGGTAGTTTTTTTCTTTCTTGCTATTGTTTTTTTAAATATATTTATAATATACTATGTGATATTTTTGTTTCTTTAGTATGTTCCTTCCCAACAGTATAACCTGTTTTCACCATATTTGATTCCGGTTCCCTGCATCTTGTGTATACACTTTTCTGATATAAGAAGGGGAACGAAAAAAACAAAATGTTTAAATAGGATATAGGTTGACACACTGTAACAATGACATGTACATGACACTATATTGTAAACAAACTTTACAACTTGTGGGAATGAGGGAGGGAGAGTTAGGGAGACGGGAAGAGAAGGGACGGTAGAGGAAAAACAAAGGAGGAGGTAACATTGCTCTATAAAATGTACTCATTACCTTACTCATATAACTGTAACCCCTTTGTACACTATTTTTACAATGAAAATGTATAAAAAATAATATTACAACCAACTTCTATTGAATAATACTTGATTCATCAACATACTAAACATTCTCCAGAAGAGACAAAACACCTGACAAATTTTAATTTCTTTTAAAGTATATTGTGCATACATGCAGATTACATTACAGTAATGCTAGAATTTAACGAGCAAAATAGGCCCAAACAAGAATTATCGAAGGAATTTATTTTCTGACAATTATAAAATATTTAAATAATAAAGTATTCAACGTAATTAAAAAATTGATAAAGTGAACTGTTTTTAAGACAAAGTACAGGAAGTAAAATGATCCTTAGAACAAATGAAAATTACAATAGCTTATAATAAATCTATAGTTTTAGAAAGCCCAGGAAGGAAAGAATCTAACAACCTTGCTTAAATCAAGATAGCATGTTCTGGAAGAACAACTTACCCTGTAGCTCAAGGAATTAGAAATGCAACCCCAAATTAGTAGAAGGAATGAAATCAAATAGAAAAATTGCAATTAAAAACACAGTAGCAATGAGCAATGAATCAAAAGCAGCTTGTACAAAAACAAATGGTTGATAAGACTGAAGTAAAAATCATGAGCAATCACAGAAGAAATCAACACGTACCTCCCAGAATTCTGGATGAGCTGAATCATAATGCTGAAAATAATCATATTACTGGAAAACATCTACAGATTCAGTAGAGTCTCCATCCCATTTCCTATCACTTCTTTCACACAAACAGAATCAAGACTAAATTTTATGGAAAAGGAAATTGTCCATTAGCTAGACCTATCTTAAGACACAAGAAAAACACTGAAGTATTACCACACCAACCTTTCTCTTATACTAACTATACAAGGAGCAGAAAAATTTTTGTGTTGAAAGCAGACAGTATATCAGTGAAATATAAGGCCAAGAAATAGATGTAAATAACTACAGATAACCGATTCTTTGAGAAGTTGACAAAAAAAATGCCTGGCCTAGAGATGGGACCCTAAGAAAGGTGTGGCAATGTGAAACTGGTTATCTATTTGAAAAACACTGAAATTTGACCCTTTTCTTCAATCTGTATTTTTATAACTCAAAAGTTGATCAGTTATTAAGAGATTGAAACTTTACAAGTATTAGAAAAATACAATATAACTTTAATAGAACTCAAACCAGTCATAAAATAACAACAATTAGCTCTGAAGTTGACTAAGTGACAGAAACTGTTTCTTATTTGCAAGTCCTTAAATTCTACTCAACAATAGAAAAAAGTAGCTGTGGTAGCATGAAATTGAAAAGTTTCAGCATAATAAATCAAAAAGTGGGACATCTAAATGAATGGTTGAAACTACTTCTACCTATTCATCTCACAGGTGATTAATAGCATAGTGTAAAATAGTTCCAAAAATTTAAATACTAGTAGAAAAAATCCAGTTAAGAAACCAACGCATAAGCAGATACATTAAAATTTAAAAATTACAAATGGAAAACCAATACAGAAAAATGTTAAACCATATGAGAAATCAGAACAATAAAAATCAAAGATAAAATGAGTCACCCATCATGCAGAAAAAAATGAAGTATCACTGGAACTGAAAAATGGACATGGGAAATGAGGGAATGGAAAATATGAAGGTGAATATGTACGGCCAGATAAGTTTAAGTTGAATTGGAAGATGGGCAGAGGGAATATGCATTTTTAAATCATGGTATCAAGCATATAATAACTCAGGGATGAGGTTTGAGCTGGAGATGCATGCTAGAAATATATTACCTGCTGCTCCCCTGTAGTAGAAGTTAACAAGCAGCTATTATATATATATATAAACTTGTTCATTAATCAACAGTAAAATAAAGACTTTGTAAGGAAAGTGGCTGAATATTTGTGCCTTAAAGCATTCTATGGAAATAGAATGATCTGGTGTTTTCATTGCTTATTTCTGTCTCAGTACAGTTCCCATAATGCCATGGAATTAGAGGCTTCTCATTTCAGTGATGACTTTTCAATTATATTCATGTGGATAATTTAAATTCCTATTTGTCCATCATGTACATTTGTACCTGGATCTACCTCTGTATAAAACAAACCAGCTAATTCTTCACACAGATGATCTGGAACACAGAGGCAGCTTCTGAAAATCATTACTGAATTTCTTTAGTAGAAAATCCAAAAGTAAATTTATTTCACATGTACTGTGTTCATGTATGGAAATATCACAATGGAAACTCATCATAATATAGTTTGCACACATGCAAAAACACGATATTTTACCTCCCCAATTGCATTGTTGGTGATGATATATAGAAATTTAAGATTGGAGATACCTCAGAAAATAAAAATTACTTGTACTGTTTGCTCATTCCTGAAATTCTAGCTCATTAGGAGGCTCTGACTACAAATGCTGAATGAAAGCCAACTGGGGCAAAAAGTTCATGACAAACTTATGTCCCATTAATCAACAAAAAGACAGAAATCCGGTGTGGCTCACGTGATAAGCATCAGACTTCCCGAAAAAGCCAAGCACCAGTGGCTCATATCTCTAATCCTAACTACATCAGGAAGCTAAAAATGAACAGAAGAAATGATAGATATGGGAGAGAACAAAGGATATGTGAGAAGTTATAGAACTGTTTACACATAGAGTGAGTGCTATAGTCCAATTTTGTGATATGCAGGGTGGAACTACAATATGAAACCGATATGAAGCATGAGCAACCTATTATACAGAAATTGAGAAAGATTGTGGTAACATCCGCATCTGTAGAGTTGAATCAAACCTCTCATATCCTGATGGCTAATTGTAGTGTTAAACTTATCTACAATAAAGACTTCATGAATAAATATAGCTATCTGTAGTCAATATCATGCAGACTATACTTCTCTTCATATCTGTAGGTAGTTATGAAATCCATCAGCTGAAACTATAATACTTAATGTGTCTATATTAGCAAAGAAAAAAGTGTACTGAAACGTGTTTTGGGAAACAAAGAGAAGGAAAATTAGCTAAACATGGATAAATAGGGGGGAATAAGAAAAATAAGCTAAGCTAGGCACAGATGCCTTATGCCTGTTGTTATACATAACTAGGAAGTTGAGATCTGAGGGTCATGTTTTGAAGCCATCTTGGGCATGGATGTCTGTGAGCCTCTTTATTTAAAAACCTTAAAGTGCCAGATGTAGACTAGAGCAGTAGATTGAGCAAAGAAGCTCAGCGACAGTGCCCAGGCAGTTAGACAAACACAAAAGACAAAAAAATAACCAAACTTAGTAGTGATATATAAGATTTATCTTATATGCCATCTCTGTTCTTGTCTGTGGACAGTTATCTCAGTTTCACTTCTTATACCAGGACTTGAAATGGAGTGCAGATGATAGAGGCAATGACATTTCCTCCTGAAGTAAGTATCAAATTAGCTATTATGCAACAGCCAATTACTTTGTTACTTGGAGGTTTGTGTAGCCATTTTTCTTTCTATTTTTTTTTCTCTTCATGTATAGCCATTCATTAGTGACTCTGCTTGAGATCAATAACCAAGTATATGCATGTACACACATAAAGTAGAACTCATCTTTGGCAGATAAAATTCTCCCATAAGTGATCTTTGATAATGCTTGTTAATATGGAGCATATGTGACATGAAATAATGGTGCAGTGCATATTTTGAAACATAATTTGTCTAAAATAACAGAGAGAGAGAGAGAGAGAGAGAGAGAGAGAGAGAGAGAGAGAGAGAGAGAGAGAGAGAACAGAGAGACCAAGGGCTTGAAATCAGATACTAGACAGTCTTTGATCATTTTTGCTTCAGATAGCATTCTGCCATTTCAGCCACAGCACCATTTCCAGTCTGACTGAGTAAATGGAGATACATGTCTCATAGATTTTCATGCCCAGCTGCCTTCAAACATTTATCCTTAGATATTAGCTTCTTGACAAATTAGTGCTAGAATGAGCCAGAAGTCTACATTTTTTTCATTGTCCTCAAAATATAAATGTTACCAAAGACAAGTTCTGAGACAACTGGCCTGTGCAGAAGAAAACGTGCCTGCAGCCTTTTAGTACATAACTTATGATAATGACTTGGGTTGTTTCTAGATACTTCAGTTCATCCTCTGCAGTTACTGCTGTGGGGCAGAAGATACTGGAGTAAAGTAATGCAATTACAGCCCTGGAAAGAGAAGCTATATGGAAGGAAACCAGATTACACAAGCAGGTAGAAATTTACTCAACAGTAGATGGAAGATAACATAATGTAACTGAGCTGTTTCTGATTCAATACGAATGGTGGCAGAGTAGAGAAGACAGAGTTTCCTCATAGTTTGTCTAACCTGAGAACAGAAAAGTAAAGCGAATTAAATTGATGAGTTACTCACAGATTGTTCTCTTCATGTACGGAAGCATCACTATTACTGCTACCTGTTCCCAATGTGTATAGAGGGAAAAACCCAGCAATGATGATATCTCCATCCATGTGTGCTCTCTGCATCATTGTAGAAAAGCAGGTAGTGCCAACTGAGGACCTAACAAGAAGGGGAAGCTGGAGAAGGATTGTGAAAGTCAAAAGGCACATCCCTGACACATCTGCCAAGCTGAAATCCTGGCTGGAAATGAGTCCTACAGTTTCCAGAATATATGTTCATTTATCTTTGTATATGTGCATATGTATCTTTTTATTGACAGAGTTGTGTACTGTAGCCCAACTTTCATGGAAACCTCTTGTACGTCTCCAGTTAGAATGGGTAAAACTCTTCCCTGGGGCTCTGCATCTGAGGCCTTGAATCTAGGAGGACAACATAAATTGGAAAACATGTTTGAAGATTCTCCTCCTTCATCCCAGGTGCTATGATTTCCTCCAAGACCACAGATAGTGAGGCCGTAGGGATGAAATTAACTTTGATATATTTGGTGCAACATCTGTGTCAAGAAACTCTTAGAATGAAAGCCATTTGGGATGATGCAACTGGATTGCATCAGAGGATGCCATTCCAGGTGCATGGTGAAATGGACAGAAAAAAATGTATGCCAGCTGGATATGAATCTAAGTTATTAGGTCATCACACCTGTGGGTCATTTCACAAATTAAATATCCATAGCAGCCACAAAATATTGCCGGTTGTTCCAGGCAGATTTCTAAAATATCATGGTCACAGGCCTCCACAACTGCATCTACTTAAATATTCCCAGGAAGCAATGTTGCTGCTGAAATTAGAAGCATTTTATTAAGGTCTCTGGGTGGAATTTGCATCATATATTTTGACAAATTCAAAGATCAACATATTATAATATATCCTCAGTTAGGTAGTCAACCGCAAAACTAAGCTTCACATTTGCATTCTGAACCTTCACACAGACAATTTTTAATAAACTTGCTAACATAGATCACTATATTATTTTTCATGATGTACTGGTGTGAGAATATGTAGTAGTGGAGGAATTTCTTCTTTATCTCAAGCAATATCAGTATCAAATCCAGCTATATTGTTTCTACTTGTCACAAGATATTAGAACCAAATTCTATGTAGAGATCTCCATGGCACTATAGAACAGAGTTACTTCAGAGCAGTGAACACACTCCTCACAAGTCACAGTGGTGGATCACCATACACATATAAACAAAGCAGAATATCTTTAAAATTTATACTTTACTTTAAAATATATACTTTAAAATAGTACGTGGATAAAGATTTTCAAAGTTTCCACTGGTCTTTAATAGGTTTTTTTTTTTTTCCTGATCAGGTGTGGGGTTTGAACTCTGGACCTGCCTGCTGTCCCTCAGCTCTTTAGCACAAGGCAATCACTCTACCATTTGAGCCACAGCACCACTTACAGTTTTGTGGTGGATTATTGGAGATAAGAATCTCAAAGAATTTCCTTCCCTAGCTGGCTTTGAACTTCGATCCTCAGATCACAGCTTCTTGATTAGCTAGGATTACAGGCATAACCCACTGGTGCCTGGCTTTTTCTTTTATACTTTTATATATGTTATCTTATGTAGAATTTTAGACCTTACTTTTAAAATTCTTGGTAGTATATCTTAGCTATCCAGAGGTATTTTAATATCTGACCATATATCCATGGAATGAACCTCAGTCTCACAGGTAGTGGCATTGGTTCACATGCCAAATCTACTTATCGTTTCTTGAGGAAACTACATACATTTCCATAGTGGTTGCATGGAATGACATTCCCATGAATTTTGTGTCAGTGCTCCCTTTCATTTCATTTTTGCCAGCATTTGTTATTTGTGTTCTTGATGATAGAAATTGTCAATGGAGTGTGGCAAAATTCAATGTTCTTTGGCTGTGCATTTCATTTATACAAAGGATTCTGAAAATCTCTTTGTGCATTTTATTATCCATTTAGATTCTGTATTTGACAAGTATCTTTAAGGTTATTTTCCAATGTGTTATTTGACAAATTGATTCCTTAAGAGTTTAGTTTTATGATTTCTTTGAATATTCTGGTTAATAATCACAGGCCAGATATTTAGCTGGCCAATTTTGTAGGCCATCTATTCACACTAAATCCTTTTTAATGTGTTGTACTGAAAGTTTTAATTTGACGTAATCCCACTTGTCAGTTCTTGCTCTTATTTACTGAACTATTTGAGTTTTAATCATGAGGTTATTGCCTAAACAAAATGTTTGATCAGTTTTTTAATCTGTAATATAGTACTGTATCTTAAGTTTTAGCTCCTAAATTTCTGGAGCCGAGAAAAACAAGGAACATTCACAATTTAGGGCATACTGAAATATTGTGTTCATAAAGGAGAATCTCTATCAGTGGAAACAGTTAATCACCACATTTGATGACCTTGTGTGTACACATGTTGAGTCTTTGCAGCCAGTGTTCCTGCCTTGTTCATAGACTAGAAGTCTCCCTGCAGCCACCATTTGTTTCCAGGATACAAAATGGAAGATTGCAATGTGAAGCCTTTATGCATTTAGTGTTTTTAAGAATTAACACATATTAAATAGTTTACAAATTGTCTACATACACTAACAAAAACTCAATGCATTTCTGATCACAATGATCAATACAGGAAATATTTTTATCTGTTGTTTTAGTAACAGATGCATCATAAGCATCTCCTTAGAATCATTATATGTATACAATGTCATCCCTGACGCGATTTGGATGTCATGGTGCATAACGTTGTCATTGTGACATGGGCAGAGTTGAGCATTTTACAAGGTGTTCTGTAACTACACTTCACATGTTAAAGTCAGTGAATTCTTCAAAACATTCAATCTATTCTTCCTGTCCATCTACCAGTAGTTTGCCAACATCCACCGGGAACTGAAACATCTGATCAAATTCAAATAACAATTATAATGACTGGAGATTTTTCACCTGCAGGTGAGGCCTAGGAAATAGAATCTGGGAAGTGGATTGCTCAGAACAGAACCCTCATTGTCTATTGCCAGCATCTTGTCTCAGAGGCCAGAGAGATTCTGGATTAGGCTGTTTCTGTGAAGTGGTCAGTCCCTGGCTGTGGCATGTTCTTGAATCATTTACTTCCTTCTGAACACAATGTTCTCTGGATCCAGCTTCAATTATCTGAGGCATGAGGCAAAAAAAAACCTGTGTATGAAGAGGGTACCTCTTTCTCTCTGAAAGGAGTATCGCTAACCTACATATAGACAGAGCAAGGACGGTTTACAACAGAGAAACCATAGTCACAGATTATCTGGAAAGCAGCTTACTGTCCTCATTCAATGTATAGATATGAACCACCTACACTTCAACAGCATTACATCAGGCACTAAGCATAGTTTACTACTATGATCAGGAAAACCTGAATTCTGCTGGGGCCCAGGCCGGAGTTGGTCATTAACACTAGAATTCCTAAATAGATTTAGTAGGAGTGAAATCCTCATGGACTCTAGCCATAATAAAATTCTCCCCTACTCCAGTCTGAACTTCACATAACAGTACCATCTCACAAACTCGGTCTGTTTTGGTCTGGAGTTTGGGTAATTTTCTTCAGCATGGCGATATTTGTTGTGAGGTCTGCTCCAGGCCATGCAGGCCCTGTGCAGACACCTCCCTACCTCCTGGCAAAGTTTCCACCCAGTATCTGTTACCTAGGTAACTGGCATACTTGAAAGCAGTCACCTACCCTCCTGATAGGTTACATCCTGGGCTGCCTCTGGTCATGCCTCCCATCTGACCATAGAAGGGTCCCAGGCCTGAGGTCAGATTCAGATCTAATGTGGCCACACCTTTCCCCCACCTGGCCTTGCTTTTTACTGTCCCAGCCTAGATAAGTCCTGGTCTGGAGGTGGGTCTCTCCTTTCAGCTATGCCTCTCCACCATGCACTGTGGGGGCAGCAGTTTGGTAAATGAACTTTTCCTGCCTGAATAGCATGTGAAACCTACCTACTTAATATACCTTACGTTTGCATTGTGCCCTAGAGTGCTGAGGTATGGGGCTCTTTCCACAGGAGGAAGATACATGAGGGTACATGTTTTGAGCTCCGGTTGATAATGCACTCAGAGCTGAGCCCATTGGCAAACCATCGTCATGACAGAGAGAGGAGGGTATGGAACATTTAGAAAAGTCTAGATCTGCTAATAACACTTGGTTTTCCCAAGAGGTTGGCACCACTATTTAGATTTCCCATAATTTCCATGCCTAGGCAGCCAGATGGGCTTAGCTTGTGTTGTGATGTTCTTTAAACTGGCAGCAACAGTCTCTGATCCCCAGAAACCATACGGTGATAAGGAAGGGAATTTATAGTCTTTCTTTTGATTCGGGTTGCCTCCTATGTACCTCAAGTGCCATCACTTGTATTCCGGGGACATAGCAGGATGAGCATTGAGAGATTTGTGAATCGCTACAATATACCATCTCCTGCCTCAGCTGAAACTCTGCAAATCTGGGTCAGACCTAGAATGCCATGCTCTCCTTCCCTTGGCCCGTAGAGGTCAAAGAGCCCAACAAAGCTAAGCCTGATGGTTCACATCCCTGGGCTGAAAAGAAGAGTATATCTGGACATCGAATGTTTAGGGCACTCCTGGGAAGATACTTCAACACTGGCCTTGTGCCAGGAGTAAGAAAACCCTGAAATACAAAAAAGGGCAATGGAATTTTCTCTTTGAAGGATGCAAACTGGATATTTTATGGAATCAGCATTTCTTTGTCTTTAGAAAGAATTATAAGAGTAATATATAGCACCTTGTTGCCTCGTGCTGCTCTATCATCAGCCCCAGCATTTGTTCTGAATCAAAAGCCAGAGATGGATTTAGCTACATCACTGAGTCCAGCATGTAGTCCATGAACAGTGTTATTTTCACCCTAACTTTTGATGTCCAATCAATGGAGAGATTCAAGTTTTGCTCCACAAAAAGGGAAATTGCTAGACTATTTCCATTGTGACCCCTCTAGTAGTAATTCTAACATTAGGTTAATAGTGAGAGTCATAGCCAGCTCTAGCACCTGGACTTATATTAGATGCTGATACTGTA